CGGACATCACACCTTTCTTCGATGAAGCGCATGTTATTCGCACCACCCAACACACGGAACAACTAAGAACTTTGGAGGCACTGGAAATATTTAAAGCCGATCGTAAATCCGCATGCATTAATTTCAAAGAAGAAATAAATCTCTCTGCAGCATGGCAATTTTTAATTGACGATAAATCATAATATAGTTTATAAGACAAGTTTTATGACGTAATGCACACAATGATTCCCCATTGGTAGAAAATTACATTTGAAATAACAAGTGGATTCCTTCCGTTTTCGGAATTTTTTCGAAAAATAGCACGTTACGTTTTTTCAAAAACATTCGAATTAAAGAATCCGGTTATAACGAAAGATATAAAGAAGTAAGCCTGAAGAAGATCCCAGGAGGGGAATCGAAAACGTTCGCCGATTTTAAAGAATTTCGCACCGGTTAATGGTTAAGGGTAGACAGTTGTTGGTTGTGAAGTTATACAACCCGGTGTGGTAAGAAAGCATATTAAATAAGTAGTAATTCTATGTACAAATGTACTTTCTACGTTAGTTTTTGACTTACAACAAAATGTTGGGAACCTAACCTGTTTATAGGTAGGGGTAGTAGAGGTACTTGTATGTGAAATGTCACATGCAAATACTATATGTAACTATTATTATTAAAAATCAAATCAATTTGATATATTCTGTTTCACATAAATAAAAATGATTATTCCTAAATTTTTCAAGGCAAAATGCCATACACTTCTTCCATATTAGCCAGATGAATGTAACAGTAACCAGTGCCACCTGGCAGAATTCATAGAACTAGCCAAAATTCAGTACAGTAAAACTTCAATTTAATTAATGAACAATTTTCAGTCCATATGTCATATGAAAAAAATAACAATTTGTTAATTTTAAAGTACTGTTTTTATGTACGAGGGCAGTTTTTTCAAGTTTCAATGATTCATAAAACAAAGACTGGATAATTATAAATAACTATGATAGCTGAAAGATGTTGAAAATGTTTATTGATAAATACTGCATATTTTTTTTACTGAAATTTGGTTTAATGCTGTGTTATTTACAATTTTATTTTTTGTATATCTTTAAATAATTAAACATAGCCTTTTTGTGTTAAATAAGTTATCTTTACTATTCATTGTATAATTAAATGTTATTTTTAAGTAAAAAATATTTGAATATGGAATGTTGTTGAAAAATAGAAATTATAGACTATCTATAATTTTAGACTAAAAGATTTAAAATCTGGTAAATCTGTCCCAAGTTTTCCAGATGATGAATTCATAGTTTATTAGTAATAATAATCAGCTATGCATGTCTATCATATTTGTACATAATTTTAATCTTGTTACTGACTTTTTTATTAATGAAAAAATGTTTTTACTAAATAGCTTTTACAAGGTATGGGAGGAGGACACGTGCAATTTCCTCCTGATCCCCATCAGGAAATTACAATGCAAATTGAAAAACTTCGACATAAAAGTCAGGTAATAAATTTATTTACTTTTAATAAAATGTTATCTTTTAATGTAAATTAACAATTATTATTACATAAAACAAAATTGGCTTGACTGACATGAAATGTCCAAATAGAAACAGAAATTCTACAGCAAAATAAATTGATAGTCAAAAAAGGACAACAAGGAAGTTACTGGAAAAATTTAATATTGAACAAGTCAATGTTTTGTAGGCTTTGAGATCTGAAAATTTAATCTTCAAATAGAACACCATAATGTCTGGGTTGTCAATTAAGTGCCATCTACCAATTTTTGAAGATTTTTTTTTAAGTATTCATTTTCTGTGTATTATTTTAAATTACTTTTTTGCCATTGATTAATCTTTGTTAAATTATAATTATTGTGTGTATATAATCAACATATAATAAAACTAAATATGTTTATACATATCCAATTTTGAATAGAAGTTAAATCTATAATTACCTACCTTTAAAAACCTTAACATTTCTGTAAACTTTATAATTATAGAGAACATTTTTGATCTGTTACTAAGATTATCTTCAGGTTTCTTTAACATATCAGTTTTGAAATGTAATAAGGAACAATGGCATATTACAAAAAGGAAAGCAAAAATATAAAAATATACAATTATCATGATACTTTTACAACTTAGTGTTCATTTAATGTACTGTACAAGAGAATTATTGTAACAGTGATAATTAACAACCATCTATTTAATCCATTTAGTGGTAATTTATGTAAATGTTAAGTGTGGATAATAAAATGAAGTGTTACAAGATTGAACGAATACCCAAAGATAAATACAAATAAAATTATCTGTAGTGAAATACATTTAAAAAATTATCAGATAAAATTAGATTGCACACACTTTTGATAAATAATATTTGTTGATTACTGGTATCACTTTACATCATTTTTGACCATGGTCATCATAAAAGACTTGTGTTGTTTACAATTTTATTTTTTGTATATCTTTAAATAATTAAACATAGCCTTTTTGTGTTAAATAAGTTCTCTTTACTATTCATTGTATAATTAAATGTTATTTTTAAGTAAAAAATATTTGAATATGGAATGTTGTTGAAAAATAGAAATTATAGACTATCTATAATTTTAGACTAAAAGATTTAAAATCTGGTAAATCTGTCCCAAGTTTTCCAGATGATGAATTCATAGTTTATTAGTAATAATAATCAGCTGTCTGATTATTATTACTAATAAACCTGATAAACCTGAAAATAAATCTGATTAGTAATAATAATCAGATGTATTTTCTGCAAGCACATCGTCTTCACTATTTTTTTTTAAATTAATACATACAGGTATCATTTTCAATTGAAAATCTAAAATGCTTCAAGAGCTCTAATATGCTCTATTTGCTGAGCATCCCTAATGAGGTTGCATTTTCAAGATTAGCATGTACATTGTTCTCTGAAGCATATAGGGCAACGGCTATGATGTTTCCTGCTATTTATCTCAATTATTATGTTTTTGCTAATCTCTTACAGAGGGATCATTTGGTTGATCCTATATACTCAAGGAATCTGTCATCCCTTAGATTACCATGGTATACAAAGTTACTATATCTTTGTTAACTGCATCCTCCTCAAAATATGAAGTCTGTTTTTAGATGTGCTATCCTTTCATTACCCTGTAGGAAATACATGTCATGTCTGTCATTGAACACAAAACTTGTGCTAGCTCTAACAAAGCAATGTTCATTTAGTACAATATAATGTAGACTGAGTAGTCCAAAAATTACTATTGGAGGATGCCAGATTACTAGACATATTGGATTATCAAATACCTGATAAATGAACACCATCTGTAATATACAGGGTGGTTATAATTAATGTTGTAATACTCAGACCTGCCTAGAACCCTTTCTCGTGGACTTATTTTGATGAAACCTTGCATATGTTATATGGACCATGGGGAAAAGGAAAATGCAAAAAAATATTTAGTTCAAATTCTTACCACAAGATGAGAAAATGGCACATGAAGAACAATAAACACAACATGGAAACACTCAAAAGGTTTTTATTCACAACATTTGTTCAATGTGCAATCCATTTGCATCAATTGCATGTTCAAAACACCTTACAACAGTCCATTTACCATTTGCATCAGTCACGTGTTCAAAACACCTTACAGCATTGTAAGGCATTTTGAATATATGTAATTGATGCAAATGGTTTGCACATTGAACAAATGTTGTGAATAAAAACCTTTTGAGTATTTCCATTTTGTGTTTATTGTTCTTCATGTGCCATTTTCTCATCCTGTGGTAAGAATTTGAACTAAATATTTTTTTGCATTTCCTTTTCCCCATGGTCCATATAACATATATACCAAGTTTCATCAAAATAAGTCCATGAGAACGGGCTCTAGACAGATCTGAGTAGTGCACCTTTAATTATAACTAACCTGCATTATGGATATAAAAATATCAGCATTGTTTTGTTTTATTTATTATTAAATTGTGTTAAAAATTATTTTAAAAATAATTTAAACAAACTACTCATTTGTGAATTTATTTTTGACATCTTAAAACACACCTCATGTTGCCAAGATCATTTATTGAAAACTAACGTTCTCGGCCTATTCCATAGTATTCCATATATCCTCAGGTTAAACTAGAAGAACAAAACATGGCATTCCAAAAATAGAATATGTGTACTTAAATACAAAAGTTAATAACTGAAAATAATAAAATAACAGAAAAAATGTAAATGTAAAAATAAAAAAAACAAAAATGGATATAATAATAAAAATTTAGTAATAATACCTTAAACAAATGTTAATATAAATGATTAACGTATATTCATAAAACATGAAATTATAAATTAAGGTATAAGTTAGGAGTTCATGGAAAACTTTTTGAGTATAAATTTCCAAGCTAATGGTAGACCTTCTGCATCCCTTGCATTTATACATGCCTCTTCCAGTTTGCATTTGTAAATTTCAATTTTCTCAGCGGTCATTGCTAATGTTGGGAGTGCAAGGGTTTGACAATCCTTTTTGAATATTCGTTTCATCCCATTTTTCTATCAATGGGTCTATGCCATCTGGCAGAGTATAGTTGTATTGGAACCTTTCCTGACGTTATATTTATTCCTTAAGCCTTTCTTTCAAATTTCTTGTTGTAATGCNATACAAATAATAATGATAAATGATGATAAAATAAAAAGCTTGTGTTTTGTTTGTAAATTGCTTATTTTTTCATTACATTGAAATTGTGGATTCTATCAAACATTTTTCTACAGGATGTATGTACTGTATTTTTTTAATGTGGCAGTCTTTGAAGCATATCAACTGTGCAAAAAGAGGGCTAAATGTACTCAATGTTAACAGTAAATGCTGTTTTATTATGTCGATATTCCACACTAAAAAATGTGAGGGTCAGGGAATTTGGACAAAGTTGGTCAGGGAAAGTCAGGGAATTCAAAACAAAAATTTGAGTAGGAACCCTGTATATAATAAGGACACAAAGGTATATGAATTAATGTCAATGATCTTGTTTAAGCAGTAGACACAATGATTTGTGGAAAGAGATGATTCACCATTTCCACCCTATCATTTAAGTTCCCACAATTTTCACAGTCAGTTCTGTATAAAATTTTGTTGAAAAACTTGGACTATAGCAAATTGTGCTTTTGGTGGGTTCTGAAAATGCTTACTGAGGGACAAGACGTGGATGTCTCATGCGACCCTTGAATTCAAGCAGCAGTTCTGGAGTGGTGATATACATCATCAATGTCAAAATTGAAATTCAAACAGAATCTCAACTTGCAAGATTATGGCAATCATGTTCTAGGACAGATGCAGTGTTTTGCTGATGGACATCATATACTGGAAGGGACAACAATAAACACTGCTGCAAATTGTCAGCCCTTGAGGAAACTTCACTTCACTACACATTCCAGAATAAATGCTGTAGTAGGCTGCCTGCCAGAGTTCTGTTGCTTTATGATAATGTGAGAGATAATACTGCTGGTTTAATGCAAGCTCTAGTTGAATTTTTTGGCTGGCAGCAATTGGATCACTTCCCATACAGCCCAGACTGGATACTAACAGACTACCATGACTTTCAGGAGGGTTCAGCAAGGATGGCTATATCTTGTGTTGTCTGGATGAGAACCATTCGCCATCTTACAAAATAACTATAAGTTTTCTGAAATTTTTGTCTAAAAGAAAAATTTCCCTTTTGGTAGATGGAAGTTTCATTAAAAGTTTTGAGATGTTATCCTGAGATTGACTCCGTTTTTAAAGGGATAAATTTCTTATCTAGCTGTTGTCTTATACATCTACTGTTGGAAAGTTTGATTACTAATGATGGGTAACAATTCTCAAAATAATGTAGATTTGGTGTCCTTTCACTTGATATTTTCACTCCATTGCACACAAATTCAATTTTTGATTATTTAAAAGAAAATTTCAGTTCTTTTGTACATATAAAAATTATATATTTTATTAAGCCTATTGTATTTTGAATATTATTTAGCATACAGTCAAACCTCTGTTTACAAACTTTATTCATTTCTAAAAGTTGTTTGGAAACAGATTTGTTCTTAATCCCAAAAGTTTTTCATTTTTAACTTTTTAGCTTTATCTCATGCATAAAATGCCTGTAAAGGTAATATAATATATAATATCGCCTTTATAGATAAACTACTATTATATATTATACTTTATACTTATATTTATTATATATAAATGTATATTAAAAACAAAATGTTTCATCACCACCAATCAGAAACAAAACCAAAACTAACAATTTATAAAGAAATTCTATAAATAGAGAGACAACTCTGACAGCCAAGATGAAATAGAAATATATTCACACTTTCCAAAATATTATGTTTCAGTTGATTTCATTTTGATATTAAGTTTATTTTATTTTTAGTTTTAATATCAATGTGTACAGGCCAGTTTTAATTATTATTTTATTTTTTTTTAAATTTAATTAGCCAGTTAATTAAACTAAAAGTAATATCTAATATTAATAAATTTTTGTTATTTATTTAAACTTAAGCATATTTAAACATGAATTCTTGAATGCCATTTATATTACGTAAACTTCAATTAAAGTGGTTTTTATTAATTAATTTGTTTTAAATTTGACTGTGGCATGTACCAAAAAACAGAAATANACTTGATGGCAGTACACTTTCAAATCAATTGTTAAATTGTCTGGTAAAAGCTCCAGAAAAAAATTTCCTTAAAATGCCACCAAAGAGAGCATCTCTCTTTAAGAACATGTGGAATCCATATATCAAGCTTTGAAATGATACCAATTTGTTTCATGTAATCATAAACAGTTCAATTTGACAAATTTAATGTCTTAGTGATTTCATGTGTTGTTACTCGGCAGTTTGCTTCATTCAATACCTTTATTTTGTTTTCATTGGCTTCATCTGGCCATCCAGAATGTGGTGCATCTTCAATATTGAAATTGCCAGAACGAAATTTTGTAAACCAGTTTTGGCACTGTTGTTATATCAATACATCTTCTATATACACGTCACACAATTATTTTTCTCGCTTGAACAGAATTCTTACCTTTTCGGTAATAAAAGAGCAAAATATGCTGAAAATGCTACTTTTGCTCTTCTATATTTGATGGAACACAAAAAAATAAACAATTGCACAAAATCAAACAAAATTTTTTGCAAATAAGCCTTAAAATGCTAGCTGTCAAAATATATAATGATAATACGGTTTAGAATGAAAATGATAATACTACTAATCTGTCTAGTGGTAAAAAAAGGAAATTACTTTCCGAACAACCCAATAATTTTTCTTGATTCTCATTTGTATGAGTTCATAAGGTTATCTTGTACACTCCTGTTCTTTCTTTTTTCTTAATGTTATCTTTGTCATTTACAGTTTCATGTTTTATGAATATATGTTAATCATTTATATTAATGTTTGTTTAAGGTATTATTACTGGATTTTTATTATTATTATTATCATTATTATATTTATTTATTTTATTAATATTTATTTTTATTATTATATCTGATTTTGTTTTTCTTTTATATTTATAAGTTTTCTGTTATTTTATTATTTTCTGTTATTAATTTTTGTATTTAAATACACATATTCTATTTTTGGAGTGCCAATGTTCCAATCTTTTAGTATAACCTGAGGATGGCCTCTGGAATAGGCCAAAAACATTAATTTTCAATAAATGATCTCAACAACCTGAGGCATGTTTTGATAATCTAATTACTTGCTGAATATGTTCTGTCAAATCTCATTTTTGAAGTTATCAGCATTTTCTTAAAACGAAATAACATTTTATGAAAAGAATTATGTAGATTTTAATTAACCATTATCTGTTTACATTATCTACAGATGTGTATTCTAATTTATTTAAAATATATAGGTTTTATTTTAAAAAATTTGTGTTTGCTGTCTGTTATGTCATGCTAATCTTTGTTTTGGTTAAAAAGTCGTGATCCAGAATGAAAATCAGTTAGTAGATATAAAATTGATTGGCATTCTCAAATTCAAAATAATTTGTTGTAATTTGTAAGTTAATATTGGATCAAATTGTGATATTAATTAAGTATACGTAAAGTTTCTGCAACTTAATGGAAAGGCTTAAAAGATTAGTTCATTATTTGATAACTCAAAAATAAAAAAAAAAACTTATGCTTAGGAAAATATACATCATAGAGTAATTAATTCTTTAAAAAATTAGTACCCAATATTATAATTTAGATTTAATTACTCTTAAATAAAAAGATATCCAATTTATTTGTTCTAATTGTAAAAAATAGGAAACTGATGAAGATCTTCGAAGAATGCAGGAAGAACAGGAGACATTTGTAATACAATATCAAGAAAGTTCGAAAAGACAAGGTTTGTATCTAAAATTAAAATTATCTATTTATATACAAACTAATAGCTCGGGATGCCACCTAGTGGGCATTCTTTACAAATTTCCATGAGGCATTTTTTGTTCCTATCAATATTCTCTACAGCTCCGTTAAAGTCACAATGGTAAGATTTACCCTCTGAATGAAGGGGTGGCAACTGTAGATTCCCTGAGCGAACAATAAAGTTAAAGGAACCATACCCCTACGCACGACCCTTCAAGAGTTATATCTCGGGAAAAGTCGCGTGTAGGGGATTTAAAATGGTTTATTTAAATGTACGTGATTTAAAATGGTTTATTAGACATTTATTGTTCACACAGAGGGGGTCACCACTCCTTCATTTGGAGGGTAAATCTTACCATCCCAATCGCGTCATACGGATTTATATTTCTACCTATTAAACATTCTATAAATAATTTAAAATAGTTTAATTTGTTCATTTACCTTCGCTTGTAAACCTTGATTTTAAATGCATCCGCCATTTTTTAAACAAATTTCCTGTGAGTCAATGTGCAACGTTCACTGAGTCACGGGATGTTGTAAACGTGCGGCGCAAGGTTAATCAAGAGATATAATAAGGCAAGGCATATAATAGTTATTTATACCATTGCGTGGTATAAATAATAAATTCATATCAATAATAAATTCCTATTACAAATAAAAATAATTTATTGTTAATATAAAATCTTTGCTAGGGTGCCTCTAGTGCCTGTTTTTGGCATACTGTTTCACGGACGGATACCGGTTCAATGGGTTTTATATATAGATATAATTAAACACAGTGGGTGATTGGTTAATGAACATAATGTGTTCAAAGATGATATTTGCTACCCAAATTGTTAATGAACTGCTTATCAATTTACTATAAGTTTTTATGGGAATTTGATTAATGCATTCTGGAGACCCCAAGAAAATGATAAGTATTTTATTATGTTTACTAGCTGTGCCTGGCCATTTGTTGCTGTGGCTCAAAATGTATCTATTATAAATGTATAACACTCTTCATGGGGGAATTGGAAAAATCCCTTCTTAGTGTACATTCTCTTGACGTACCCTATTATAACGCAATCAAAAACCACATGTAAAATAGAATAATGGAAGACCAGTTTTTTACGATAAGCCTTAATTTTGTCCCTCTCCCTGTGGGGTGAATTTTGACATCTATATATGCGCATGTTTGAATGCAATGTTGCATCAAAATTTCAAAGCAATCTGTTAAGAACTTTTGGAGATTTAAGATTTTGAACAAACGAACATTTACATTTTTATTTATGTTTATTTTTGTAATAATAGTAATACATACAAAATCTTACATTTTTATTGGTCATGTTTTTTTTTCATTTGTGGGTCATTGAAGATGCTGCTCAATGTCAATTGCTTTTCTCTTTTCTTTGATTTTTGGAAGTGATATAATTGCATTGTTGTTGTAGAGATCCCAAGCCTATTGACCTCAACTTGGTTTGGATGCCATTCTGAGACCATTGTTCTGACATCCTCCCACTTCTTCAAAAATGTTTTTAATAGCAGATGTTGGCATTAGTCCTCTTTAGTTTTCCTCTTTTTTCAGAAGAAAACTCATCTCACTGAGTTTCTTGGTGTGTTCATTTAAGAGTTGTTTGACTTCATCTGTCATTAGATCATTTTTATGTTCCATTATGATCTCTTCAATGTCATCTTCATATACCTCCAATTCCAGATCTGTAATAGTTGTCACTTTTCATCCATAATTTCAGGGACAAGAACTTTGTCTCCCTGAATGATGGACACAGCTTTTGCCAAGCAGAATTCAATTGGTTATTGAGTGACTTCTGATAATGCCTTTTGAATGTGCCAGATAGCTTCACGAATATCAAAATTTTTTTCCAAAACATTTTTAATGTCAACATTCAGGAGGCTTGGCATGCTTCAAAACACCAAAGAAACAAATGTACAATTTCTTGAAAGCTGCAATAATTCCTGATTCATTGGTTAAATCAATGAAGTGATATTTGGAGGCAGAAACTGAACTGTCAGCCAGTGAAATTCTTCCAGCAAGTTATCTTCAAGGCCTTTTTTGGTGTCCTGGTGCATTGTCTAATAAGTGTTTTCAATGGCAATTCATTGGTCTGAAGTTAATACTTGATGCTTGGGGCACAAGCTTTAAACAACCATTCTTTAAAAAGAACCTTTGTTACCCATGCCTTTTCGTTTGATCTCTACATTACATTATTGGCAGTTTTTCTTTCCATTTTTCTTTTTTTCTTTTTTGAATGTAGAGTGCTAGACAGGAAGCAGGTTAAGCTTAATACCACTAACCCCTAGTGTTAGCTCACAAAAGTAACATCAGTAGATTTTCATAGGTTTATACCAAGGAATATATTTCTCATTTTTCATGATGTCAGTATGGTTTGGCATGCACTTCCAAAATAAACCAGTTTGATCACAATTGAAAATTTGTTGTGGGCAATATTCTTTTTTAATGAATTTTTGAAATTTGAGACAGAACTTCTCAGCTTCTTCTTTAACTGTATTACCACACTCACCATGCATTCACACACGTTTAATTGCAGATTTCCTTCAAATGTTAGCAAACTATACAATGGTAGCCTTGAATTTTATCTTCTCATGTGATGAATGTGGCATTTGTTTCTTCAGTTCTTAAAAATTTCTCTAGTCTTCTCTTGAATGATAGTCATACTAGTTACATCCCTTTTCATTTTCCTTTCTTTTATCCAAACTAAAAGCAATCTTTCTATTTTTTCATGGATGGCACATCTTTGTTTCTCTGATGTGATTTTCATTACTTCTTTAGCTTCTTGAGTCGTTTTGATTATACGAGGGTCATTCTAAAAGTAAAGAATGTTTGTTTCTCTAAATGTTTTTATTTAAGATAATGAAACAAAACTTATTTTACAACACATATGATACCTTAGCTATTTTTCTATGTAGTCGCTGTACAAATTTAAACATTTGTCATAGTGTATCACAAGCTTTTCTATTCCTTCTGCACACTCAGTTACCGCTAAGTTCTTGAACCAGTCATTAACAGCCTCTTTTGGTTTGTTGTCACTGCCATAGTGATTCCCGGCTAAAAAACCTTTCAATTTTGGGAAAAAAATGGGAATCACTCATTCCACGTCTGGGCTATAAGAAGGATGTTCAAAACCTTTCCACTTAAACTGCTGAAGCAAGTTCTTTTTTAATGCTGCAGCATGTGGACGTGCGTTATCCCAAAAAAGCATAATGCCTCTGGACAACAATCCCTGCTGTTTGTTTTGAACTGAAGCTTCATTCATCATATTACCATAAACCTTGGTTATTTATCTGTAAATTTTGATAGGACAGACTTTTTGCAAATTCAAAAAGCATATTATACTTTGAACCTCACACTTTGTTTTGTTTCCTTTCTAACCTGGGCAATAAATAATGGATCTATTTGCTAGTCATATAACAATAAAACAAATGTATTTTGAAGTCTGCAGTAAAATATATATATATGATAATGCTGTAAAGTTATATTTATACTAGGGGGCTTTGATCTCTACTTGTTTCACTTGTTCATCCTATGAGCTTCACCATCTTGTTCATCCTACTGGCTTCATCCAGGTGTTCCAAAATTTCATGATTATTCATCAATTTCCAGCATTTTTTTTTCTTCTCCCAGGCCACTGAAGTTGGCCAGGGAAAAACTCCCCTTCTGCTTCACAGATTTTGTCCACTTTTGCACAGTATACATCATTCATAATAAAAATTTTGAGATCCTCATCAATTCCCAGTGCTACTGCTTATATATACATGCAATTTGTACGGAAAAATAGTTAACGTATCCAATGTTGAAATTTTTTTGTTGCATGTTGCTTCACATTGAATTTTTGTCGACGTTAAGCCTAATGTCATTTTTTAAAATAATAATTGTGGCTATTGCATCATTAAAAATTATTTCTTTATTTTGTACAAACAAAATATATTGAAAAATAAAAAAACAAAAAAATAATATTTTGGAAGTTCATCTAATATTAAAAATGTTTGAATACAGAAATGTGTTACATACCTTACATAACGTAGGCCTACAGTTTAAGAAAAAAATCCAAAATTGTCTTTTGCTTCACAGCTGAGAGTCGCTTTTTTGTCGCTAAATTACGCACACATCTTTAAGGACAGCAATTGGATAGCATCACATTCTTCTTGCTGTTTTAAAAAGAACAGTGATGCCATTAAAAAATTTGTGAGTGTACTTGACAGTGAAGACGGAAGCTTGCACAGAAAAACGATGAGGATGGCAGACAACAAGGATTTAGACCTTGCAGTTTACACGTGGTTCATGCAGGTACGTAGCCAAGGACAACCAATAAGTGGCCCTTTGATCTGAAAAAGCTCTTGAAATGTACAAGAAACTGGGGGCAACGATGATTTTAAAGTGAATTCCAGCTGGCTTAAGCATTTCAAATCTAGGCATGGAATTATGGAATTGGACATCCAGGATGAAAAACTGTTGGCTGACACTGAATCAGCTGAAAGTTTGAAAGTGTCTTTTAAGAACACGATCAATAAGGAGGACTACAAAAAAGCAATGTCTACAATGCAGACGAAACTGGTTTGTATTGGAAAAAAATGCCAACAAAAACTTTAGTTTCTAAAAATGAAATGTCATCACCTGGNCCCCCTCCAAAAAATATCTCTATATATGCATTTGTGAACTGTTATTTACAATATTTGTAATAATTTTTGTTTAATCACTTTATTTCAACTTTTTCTTTTTTTGCTAATTATGTATTTGCTTGAACTTTGTTAAAACTTTAACTGTATCTCAAACAACAACCGAAGTTGTAGAAGGAAATTTGCCTATTTTACTGATCTAGGGATTTTCTTTTCCAAATTTTAATATCAACTCAAAATAATTTAAAAAGACAAATTACAATAAAACTGTTTATTATCCAACTATAAGAAATTTCACAACATGCCAAGCAAGAGAGGAAGGAGCAATTAAATAATTAAAATTATAAAGGATTAAAAAATATATATAAAAATGGGGAATATCGCACTTTTGACAATCGCTGCAAGTGTGTGGGCTAAATTTGGAAAATCCATGCTT